TCTAAGCCACAGGCAATCCTCCTCCCTCTCAGGGCTCTCTTCTCCCTGAGTGCAGCAGAAATTTTAAGGTTTCTGACATGCAAACCCACTTCCCAGAGTGGGAGGGGGAGCTCGAAAAACCCAAACCTATCAAACTGCCTTCTGCCATCTCTCATGACATGAGAAATCACCTCAGCACTGATAGTGCAGATGTTGAGAAGTCCTTTTGCATTACAAGCGGTTCCATCTGACAAAATCGAACACTAGGACTACCTCCTGCCCGCACTGTTCCCATGAACCCACTGCTTCACCGCAGGGCTGACTCATTTTCAGTCAGTGGGCAGAGGCTCAGCTCCTCAGAAGACACCCACCCAGCACCAAACAGAGCTGCAGCCATGGAGATGAAGAAAGGTCTCCTAGAAAAGGCAAAGTGGGTGTATGTAGCAGCAGGGTCTCTGGGACAAATGGCTTTGATGTTGCTCAGAGAAGAGTCTCCAAACTTGGCATTTCCTTTTTCATTCTGAACAGTGCTGCATTCTCAGAGGAAGCAAATGTCCAACGACAGCTCCATCACCCAGTTCCTCCTCCTGGCATTCGCAGACACACGGGAGCTGCAGCTCTTGCACTTCTGGCTCTTCCTGGGCATCTACCTGGCTGCCCTCCTGGCTAATGCCCCCATCATCACAACTGTAGCCTGCTATCACCACCTCCACACCCCCATGTACTTTTTCCTCCTCAACCTCTCCCTCATTGACCTGGGATACATCTCCACCACTCTCCCCAAAACCATGGCCAACTCCCTGTTGGATACCAGAGCAATTTCCTATGCAGGATGTGTTGCACAGGTCTTTCTCGTTTCCTTCTTGCTCGGAGCAGAGTATTATCTTCTCACTGTCATGGCCTATGACCGCTACATTGCCATCTGCAAACCCCTGCACTACGGGACCCTCCTGGGGACCAGAGCTTGTGTCCACATGGCAGCAGCTGCCTGGGGCACTGGCTTTCTCAATGCTGTGCTGCACACGGTCAATACATTTTCAGTGCCACTCTGCAAGGGCAATGCTGTAGAGCAGTTCTTCTGTGAAATCCCCCAGATCCTCAAGCTTTCCTGCTCAGATGCCTACCTCAGGGAGGTTGGGCTTCTTGTGGTCAGTGGCTGTTTTGTCTTTGTGTGCTTTGTTTTCATTGTGCTGTCTTATGTGCAGATCTTCAGGGCCGTGCTGAGGATCCCTTCTGAGCAGGGACGGCACAAAGCCTTTTCCACGTGCCTCCCTCACCTGGCTGTGTTTTCCCTGTTTCTCAGCACTTCATTTTTTGCTTACCTGAAGCCCCCCTCCATCTCTTCTTCATCCCTTGATCTCGTTCTGGCAGTGCTGTACTCGGTGGTGCCTCCAGCAGTGAACCCCCTCATCTACAGCATGAGGAACAAGGAGCTCAAGGATGCACTGAAGAAGCTGATGTAATCAGTGGTCTTGCAGCAGTAATATGATGCCCCTGTCTCTTCACAAGGTTTTTCACTTCATATTGAGATTCTCCTGTGCTTTGGGCATTTTATCTGTGATAACCATGTTGTCCAGGAATGTCTGCAGCCACTCCACTTCTCCAGAGACATAAAACCAGCCTGTCTGACACAGAGGCCTTCCTACATGTGGCTGTCATGATGGCCTCCTGTGTCATATCTCTGTAATAAAAAGGGATTTCTTCAGGGCAGATGCCTGGATGTTGGCTTTTTCTTCCAAACCTGAGGTCAGGAATAGGCTGAAGAGGGTGTCCCCACGAGGCTGTGCTGCTTGTGCTTGGGTTCTCCATGTGCACAGTCCCCTGAGAGAAGTCTTTCTGGGGCAGTGCCATCCCTGGACAAGAGCAAGGGAGCAACTCTGTGGTTCCAGGAGGTGATAAATGGCAAGGAGAGACCAATTTCTGTGTGCACCAGCTCAGGGCAGGCTGTGCTGTTGCTGGGGCAGCAAGAGCAGCCTGAGGACCCCCTGAGTCAGGACTCATGTTCTGGGGAGAGGGGCGAGCTTAGTGGGGCTCTGCCACTTGGCGATCAGGATCTCATGGACACAAGGGGAGACACTGGCCCCTGTCTCATGCTATGATGGGCCCTCAGCACTGGGGACGATGGGAAAGGCTGACAACCCTCTGTGCCCCTTAGAGGGCCCTTTTGAGGGGCTGTGGGGTGAGTGTCCAGAGCTCTGCTGCACCCTGGGGTGGGCACTGCTGTGGGGCCAGCCCAGGCTGGGCTGCTCTGGTGGGCTGGGCTGCGGAGAGGGCAGGGGAGGTGGGGAGAGCTGGGGAGGGGCTAGTCTGGCCAGGAAAGTGCCTGGGAGAGGAAACCCCTTGGGTAGAGCTCAGCTGTTTGAGCGTGCATGGTGAGGGCACCCAGCAGGGTGCTCCTGCTGCAAAGCCAAGTGACACAGTGCAGGAAGCAAGGCACCGGATGTGCAGTAGAGAGGGGTCCGGTCTGTGATGTTTTCTGGACTCCCCAGGGAAGCTGTCCCAGGGCAATTTTCCCTGACCACTCCACACACTGGCCGTTTCCATCTCTGGCCGTACACCCCAGTCCTGAGAAGGGACTTTTGCTGCATGTTAACCCCCGTCCTCCACTGGGGCATTGGGATACCCAACTCCAGTGCCATTATTAACAAAAATGGAACCAGTTTCCTACTGACATTGATTTCACACCAAGTCCCACAGCTCTTGCCACAGCTGGCCTCTCAGCCAAGCCCATTCTCAGAGAGCTTCAGTAAGATCAGTTGCTCACGGCCTTGCCTCAGCAGATACTGAAAAACTCCACTGATGGAGATCCCACCAACTGGCCTGGGTCCTTGCTCCAGTGTTTGACTCTGAGGGATTTCTCAGAAATTGCCAGCTCTCTCAGCCTCTCCTTGTCCACAGTGTTCTCCAGGTCCCAACCATCCTTCTGGCCTCTGCAGGACTTGCTCCTGCCTTTCAGGGTCTGTCTTGTGCTGGGGAGCCCCATACTGGACGCAGCATTCCTGATGATATCCTGTAGGGGGTTAGCCTTGGCCAGCAGCCAGACACCCACCCAGATGCTCACCCCCTTGCCCTCCTCAAAGTTATGGGGAGGGGCAGCATGGGCAAAGGAGTTTAAAGGCGTTTAAAATGCTCACGGATCAAGACAAAGACTGAGAGATCACTTACCAATTACAAATTTATTGTCAAAATAGATTTGGATAGTGAGAAATTATGATAAAAATATTAAAGATCATTCCCTACCCCACTTCTTTTTTTCTTTTTCTTCTTTTTTTTCCCCCCAGGCTCAAATTATTGCTTCAGTCCAGCACTGAGAGGCACAAAGGGGGTGGGAAATGGGGGGTTACAGTCAGTACATAACAGTTCAGCTCTGCCACTCCTTCCTCCTTACACTATTCCCTTTCTCAGCACGGGTCTTCTCCACAGGATTCCAAGGTATTTGTTGTCAAGGACAGGCGGTGTTCATTTATTTCTGTCTGAATACTCACAGAATATGTCTGTCCTTTATACTCGCAGAATAGTTAAGGTTAGAAGCGACCTCTGGAGATCACCTAGTTGAGAAGCGCCTTGTTGGGCTGAGGCAGCGTCAGCTAGCGCAGGTTGTTCAACACCTTGTCTAGGTGGGTTTGGAATATCTCCATGGATGGAGGCTCCACAACCTCTCTAGGCAATCTGTTCCAGTGTTTGACCACCCTCACAGTCAAAAAGTGTGGATTTCAGATGGAATTTCATGTGGGTTTAGCTGTGTCCATCTTGTTACTAGGAACTGCTGAGTTTGGCTCAGTTGTCTTCATGCTCTCCCATCAGGTATTTATACACATCAAGAAGATATACACATTTTAGCAGCCCGTTTGTCCTATCCCATGAGCTTGAGGATAGTAGGGCGTGTGAAACACCCATTGTATCCCTTCACCCTTTGCCCATTCCTGCACGACCTGGCAGTAAAATGACTACCATGATCTGATGGAATGGACTGGGGTTTAGGCAGATAACCAGACCATAGCTTTAACCCTTTCACTGTGTTGTCCCCAGTCATTCTTGCAACAGCCACTGCCCTGTACAGCACTGACTGTAAGCAGAAATGATCTCGTTACACAATTCCCGGGCAACTGGTCAACGCCTGCCTCCAGCTTTGAAAAGTTCTTTAACTCCTAAACGATGGCGCTTCGCATGTAACAACTGGAACAGGTGTCCCCACTTTTCCTCTTTGGCTTCTGCCACCATCATCGCTAATCAGGTTAGTGAACTATGTGATTATTCCAGATGTGTGCTGGATGATTCCCCTCTTGGTGTGCAGCTACCCATCCCACCAAGAAAGTTCCCTGTTTGGCAAGATTTGAGATCTCCTCCCATTTTTCACTTTGCCACACGGGTACCCAGTTAACCTCCCACTGATTCTGTTGCCAGAGGGGAGCCACTCCCTGCACCCTTTAAACAGCACATATCCCCCGTTCTCAGCTTCTTTCTTTATTGCACTCTAAACAGCTGTCAGTTCCCCTACTTGGGCACTTCCCTCACCTACTGTTATGATTCCATCTCCTGAGTCAACAGGTAGGGCTACTGCTTGGTACTTCCAAATTTTTCCTTCTCTTTTAGAAGATGCATTGGTGAACCACACATTTTTTAGATGAGACTCAAATGGAGGAGCAGGTTTTATGTGTGAAGGAGGAGGTTCTATGTCTGGGTGGTCAGAGGGTGAATCTTGTATTTGGAGCACTTTGGGCGTTCCCTCTTCTGTCCGTCCTGTGTGCCAATAGTGATCTCATTGCACATACCACTTCCTCACTGTTTCTTGCTGTGCAACCCCTGCAGGAACAGGGGCTCCAGCCAGCATTGGTTTCAAGACTTTAAATGGCCCTCACAAAATGATTGGTTGCTGCCGTATACTTTTTTCCTGCCTCCTACAAAGCTAGGTTGACCACAAAGAGACCCTTCTCCCAAATCAAATAACATTTCTCTGCATCTTTGAAACTGCACAAATAAAACCCTATAGGACAAATCAGGACCCCCCAGTCCATGTTACCACATATGTATGGATAATCCATGGGTTGCAAGACCCCACTCGATACGGAGTGGATCTGTTGGCTGTATTGGCCATAAGGCCTGATATACCCCAGCCTCAAAAAGTAACAACTTCAAGGCTTCTTCATGAATAGGGTTCCAGTCCCAGGGAGCCCATTTGCATGTTAAATCATGGAGGGGGTGAGCTGCAGTAGAAAAATTGGGAATATGTTTGCTCCAAAACAAGGTTAAGGCATGTTGCAGTTCCTTCCTATTTTCAGGCATTTTCACCTGCTCAAGGGTAGTTAACATTTCAGGGGGAATGCACACCATTCGTCCTCTCCACCAGACACCCAGGAACTTTACTTCTGAAGAAGAGAGCTCTACTTTCTCTGCTGGGATCTGGAGCCCCAAACCCTCCAGGTCAGAAATTATTTTTCTTTGGGTCTTTCCTACTAAACTGGTATCAGGGCCGCCGATCAATATATCATCGATATATTGATATACCTTAGCTCCCTCCTCTGGGGTAATCCGGGCAAGCTCCTGTGGCAGTGTGTAGTGGGCGATGGTATGTGAGTGGCAGTATCCCTGACGTGTAAAGGTAAATTGTATCCCTTCCCAGGTAAAAGCAAAGCGGTCCCTGTCCGCTTCCTGCAAGGGGACCATAAAACCATGTCTGTCACATCAACAGTAGCTAGGATTTGGTGGGCAACAAGCCCAAGAACAAGTTGTACTGTTGCTATCAGCTTGGCCACCTCAGGCACTGCAGCTGTTAGGGGACATGTATTAGCATTTAAGCACCGATAGTTGACTGTTAATTGACATTTCCTGTTTGGTTTGCAGACTGGTCACACCAGGGAATTATAAGGGGAGTGAGTTGGGATGATTACTCCCTGTTCCTGTAACTCGGTTATTACAGGGCAGTGCCCTCTCTCACCCCTAACGGTAAGGTATAAGGTTTCACATTAACTATTTTTGAAGGTGGGAGCACAGGCAGCCACTGCAAAAGCCTTATCAAAGCCATAGGGAGTCCAAACTTCCATTCCCTCCCTTTGGAGTCTGTCGATGCTCTCCCTTTCAGTAAATCGAGCCCCACAATATTTGTAGGTAAATTTCCTAGTATCAGAGTGAGCTCTGTTGCGGTGTTGTCTCCAGGCAACCAACACTTAACTCGAGATGCCAGCTGTAGTTTAGAATTTGTAAAGATGTCTGTCACCCAGACACATTTCCACATCCGTTCAGAACGCCACCATCTGAGTATCCATATCTACTGAGAATGTGACTGGGGTCTTAAAGGGGCCTAGGGGAAAGGGAATTAACAGGTCCCCTTTCTCACTTTCTGTGAGCCTCCTTAAGCGAGGATCCACTGGCTGGCCCCCGGCTTCCTTACTGGGGGCCGGCGCAGGC